CTAGTAATCGAATCGTTCAAGCGACCAAGTCCCATCTTTGTAGTGTGTACACTAAGCCTCACTGGTATGTACCCTTTCCCCAATATTCCTGTTCAAGATTCATGTTTGTGTGCTCTTTGATTCTCATTCTTCCCGTTCTGCAAAAATGTGATTATGTGTTGCTTTGTGTAGTTGTTTTTCCGTAGCATAGTCGTTTCTGGGTTGGAAACTATCTGGGGTAATGGGTAGAAGGAAATAGGACCACCATTGTTGAGATGATTGTTTGAATCTTGAAGACGAAGGCATTTGCGGCCCGCAAAGTCAAAATGCGGTCCGCATTTTGGCCGCAAACTTAACCCTAGATCTTCTGATGAAGATGGTGAAATGCGGTGACTTTGCGACCGCATAATTGATATGCGGACCGCAAAGCTACCGCAAAGTGACACAGACCACCCAGTTATGAGCCATGCATTTTGCGGTTGTTCTGCGATCGCATTCCCCACTTTGCGGTGGAGTTTGCGATCTCATTTTGTGATGTATGTTTTGGGCAAGTCAGTTCTGCGATGGTTATGCGGTCCGCATAGTGGTTATGCGACCGCATAACCCACCGCAGACTGAGACCCATTGAGACTAACAGATTTACGACGATTCTGCGGTCCGCATTGTGGTTTTGCGACCGCAAATCATGTCGCATTTCGAGTATTTCCTTTAAATTCTTCTATTTCTTCTCAGTATCGCTAATGTTATCACTCATACTTCACCATTGTGCAGATATGGCTCCAAAGAAACACTCATCCTCTGCATCAAAAAGGGCTTCCTCCAGTCGCCAGGCATCACAAGCAAAACGTTCATGGACGGAAGCAAATGTGCCAAGCCCCTCCCAGTCTGATGAGGAGGAGGTCAGGCCCTCAGTTAATTTAGAGGCTGAAGAAAGAAGGAAACGTGGAGAAGACTTCCATCTCTGATTTGGGGTTGAGGGGTCCAGGAAACTATACAGAGAAGGGCTCACCAAGCGCAAAATCCTGGCCGAAAAACAATTGAGCTTGAACGGGCTAAAAAACCAGTACCCCCACATCCTGGAGAACATAAAAGCACGGAGATGGGAGTGCTTCACTGAGCCACCCACTGAGTACAATGAAACCCTTGTGCAGGAATTCTATGCATCATATGGAGCCTCTAGGACAGCGTACCACAAACGCAACAGAATTTTTGTTGATACTGTCCTAGTTCGGGAGAAAAGTATGTTTTGCAACAGTGACACCATAAATGAATTGTACTTCCCTGGCTGGAGCGCAGGCACTGCTGAATACAATGCTAAATTTGCGAATAGGGAGAATGAGCGTGGGTGGATTGCTTCGGTGATAGCGAAGGGGACCCCTGCTTGGATAAACCCTCGGCACAAGATATACAAGGAAGATCTCACGAGAGTGGGTCGCTACTGGCTCAGTTTTGTTACTTCTCGATTGGTACCAACCGGAATGAGACTGAAATATCCATTGAGAAGGCTCTTCTCGTTGCATGTATCATGACGGGTATCAAGATAGATGTTGGAGCTCTGATTTTCCAAGAAATAGGGATCCGGGCAAAGCAGCAGGCCACTTCACTTCCTTTCCCTTGCCTGATCACAGCTCTCTGTAAAGCTGTGAAAGTTCCTCTCATGCCACACTATGACAAAACCGTGAAGGAGACGAGGGACATTGATATCACTCGTATTACTGATGTTGTTGTCCCACCACAGGTTTAGATTCAAGATCCACTTACTGTAGAGCCTTCCGACTCACAGACTCCGTTGACTCCTCAGGTCACAGTGGCATCCACTTCTACTTCTGAGCCTGCCTCTCAGTCCACCACTGTTCAGACTTCTGTTGCCATCCCAGCCGTCTCGAAGCTTGATCTCCTGGCTCAGCATGCCAATGCCAAGGTAGACCAGCTCTTGAAGACCTTGCCCAATCTCATCAAACAAGCCCTGACTCCTATGCAATCCTCAGTGACAGCTCTCCAAAAACAACAATTAGTGTATTGGGATCGTTTGCAGCAACATGAGTTGAGGGTGGAGAAGATAGAGCGGGGTGAAGTTAGTGGGTTGCCTGGCCTCAAAGAGGAGGTTGCTTCTATGAAGACCGAGCTCCACAAGATGCAGAACTTGGAATTCGATCTATCATCCCTCCTCCCCACAGATGGTGATCAGGTTACAGGCACAGCAGCTCCGGACTTGGGCCTTGACTTCTCTACACTTATGACTGATATTGCCCCTCCTACAGCCGGGACTTCCCAGGCTCCAGCTCCTCCTGTACGCATTGACATTCCTGATGAGGAGGTTTCCAGACGATCTACTGAGTTTGAGGATGAGGAGGCAGATGAGGGTGAGGAGGAGGAAAGTTCATGGTCCTCGGAGGATGATGGCCCTCAGGAGAAGGGAAAGCAAGTTGTGGTTCCTACAAGTGAGGAGGTGGAGCAAGCAAAACTTCAGACAGCAATTGAACATTCGCTAGCAGATTTGGCCGCCCCTGCAGATTCATCGGCCACTCAGCCATCAGTGTGCGAGGCTAGCAGCTCACAGGTCCCAGCTCCAGCTCCAGTTCTTGCCCAGCCAGAGATCCCTACTGCAGTCGAGGTCCCTCCTCAGACCGAGCTCTCATCGGTCCCAGCTTCAGCATCGGAGAGTGACCCCGCCATCACTGAGCAGGCTACTGACTCCCATAACTCTTGGTGCACCTCAGGGAGCCCCTTACACTCTCTGTTTTTGCTTTTTATGCATTGGGGACAATGCATGCTGTTCAGTTGGGGGTGGTGGTAGCTTTGTTGGTACTGTGGTGACATTGGTACTTTTGTGACATTAGCAACTGTTGGACATATGTGTATTTTGTGTTCTGTGTATGTTAGTATGATTTCCGTACATAAGTTCTGTTGTGTAGCTCGTGATCATGTTTATATTAGTGTTTTTGTGATTTCAATGCATAAGTTATGATACCCTTGTGAATATGATACCCTTGCGCATGTATAAAAAAAATAGTTATCCATCTTTAGTAAGTAGCAATGAATTCCCCTTGGTTTTTCTTCGCCGGGTTCTTTTCCAAGGGTGTAATAGTAGAACCAGGACAGTAGAATGAAACATCTTGACCTGTTTTGTGTGATTGTCTAGTCTCAAGCATGTGTGTCTATATATAGCATATACCCTTTTAGAGCTATTTAAAAAAAAAAGATATCAACTGTGTGAACTTGAGGCTCGCTCTGTGACTCTATGTCTACCTAGAGTTATACTTGTACATATGATGAAAGCTTTGAGTTGCCAAGTGTTGGCTCGAAGGCTTCAAACTTTGTGAGCCAAACAGTTCGTGTGCCATGTGTGAGTCTTTGTGTAAATATTTCTTGTGTTTGCTTCTGCCATCTAGAACTTGCCCGGTTGGTTTTTCAATGCTTATAATAATTACACTTGGTTGGAGAGATGACCTTAGGCAGTCTTTGTGATCTTTCAATCCAGTTAGCCTTTCAAGCCACCCATTGTGCAGTTAATATCCTTAGTCACCCCATTTGAGCCTTTAATCTTTTCTTTGGCTACCTCATTACAAACCTTTCCCCTTTAGTAAAATAATTCCCTCTTTTGAACCCGTCCCTCCTTAAACATTGAGAATGAGGCTAAAAGCCTAAGTTGGGGGTGTAATGTCAAAGTGAAAATTGGTAAGGTTGTACATTGAGTGTAGGATCATATACCTCAAAGTGTTTGAGCTAAATTATTCAAGCTCCAAAAAGAAAAACGTGTAAAAAAAAGAGAGAAATATCTGTATGTATATAAGTTATGGAGCCTTGACGAAAATTAGAGGGATATTTAAGGTGGTTCTACATTGGGAACTAGATGCCAATGAGGCTTTGTGGTTTGAAAAGAAACATAGTGCAAAAGAATGAAAAATGTGAGTAGTGTTCAAGGAGGGTGAAGTCACTTGTATCCAAATGCTTATCCGACCCTTCTCTAAACCTACATTACAAGCTTAAAAAGTCCTTATGGGATCTCCAACCTAGCGTTCTTAGAATAAAGCGATGAATTAAAATAAGGGCAAGCCTATGGTATGGTATGTTGAAACACTTGAAACTCTTTTCTGAGAGTGAGTGTCTTTGTGAATTCGTCCCTTTTTGTTTTGTTGTCATTGTACATATTTTGATTTTGGGACTTTCTTTCTAAGTGAGGGCACATGAACTGTAAGGTTAAATAAAAGTTGAGCTTTTGAGTCAAATGCAATTGCACTCAGCTGAGGGTAGCACTTTGTCACATTGTCTGAGGCTCAAAGTTCACAGGTTGATTAGTTTTCCTTGTACGTAGTGATGGTTCAGGAAGGGTAAAGCAATCGAAGATGCATGCTTGAAATACTAACAACTAACACCACCTATGGTCACTATTGTTCCATGTTTTGTAGATAGAGTCTAGAATAGGTTAGTGTTGTTTTAGTTGCTTGAGGACAAGCAAGAGTTTAAGTTGGGGGTGTTGATGTGCCGGAGAATTTCGGCACATNTTTGGCTACTCTAGCGTCAATGTTACATCATCCAGATAAGGCTTATATTGACCCTTTGCATATTCATGTCCATGATCAGCATGCTTACTATAATGTGGTTGAGGAGGAACTTGATGGTGATCCATGGTTCCATGATATCCGGGAAGTACATCAAGGTGGGGGTATATCCGGTACAGGCCACGGGAGATCAAAAGAGAACAATTCGATGTTTGGCAAGTGGATTTTTCTTAAGTGCAGGAGTTTTGTACAAAAGAACTCCAGATCTTGGATTGTTGAGATGCATAGATGCTAAACAAGCCAGGACTATCATGACCGAAGTGCATTTCGGAGTTTGCGGGCCGCATATGAATGGGTATGTTTTGGCGAAGAAAATTCTTAGAGCAGGGTATTATTGGCTCACCATCGAACGAGATTGCATCATCCTTGTGCGCAAGTGTCATCAATGCCAGGTACACGGTGATTTGATTCACTCTCCGCCATCTGAGTTGCATACAATGTCCGCACTTTGGCCCTTTGTTTCTTGGGGCATGGATGTCATTGGACCAATTGAACCAGCAGCATCAAATGGGCACAGGTTCATTCTAGCGGCCATCGATTATTTCACTAAGTGGGTTGAAGCTATGACTTTCAAATCTGTGACCAAGAAGGCAGTGGTTGATTTTGTTCACTCGAACATCATTTGTCGGTTCAGAATTCCAAAGGTAATCATCACGGACAATGGTGATAATCATAACAACCATTTGATGAAAGAAGTATGCCAGCAGTTCAAGATTATGCATCGAAATTCCACTCCGTATCGCCCCAAGGTAAATGAAGCGGTTGAGGCGGCCAACAAGAACATAAAGAAGATACTTCGAAAGATGGTGCAAGGGTCTAGGCAATGGCATGAAAAGTTGCCTTTTGCTTTGCTGGGTTATCGCACTACTGTTCGCACTTTAGTAGGTGCAACTCCTTATTTGTTGGTATATGGTACTGAACCAGTGATACCCGCGGAGGTCGAGATTCCATATGTTCGAATTGTTGCTGAAGCAGAAATTGATGATGATGAGTGGGTCAAAACCCGATTGGAGCAACTAAGTCTGATTGATGAGAAAAGACTGGCGGCGGTATGGCATGGCCAGTTGTATCAAAAGAGAATAAGTGCGTCCCCGGAAATTTGAAGTGGGTCAGTAAGTATTGAAACGCATCCTTCCACATCAGGCTGAAGCAAAAGGCAAGTTTCCCCCAAAATTGGCAGGGGTCGTTCGTTGTAGCGAGAGTGTTGTCCAATGGTGCTTTGTATTTAATAGATATAGAAGGCAAGTGTGTAGATATGGCTATCAATTCGGATGCAGTCAAAAGATATTATGTATGATTTCTTTGGTTTAAATCGTGTTGTTTGTACTTGGCATGTTTTGAAGATCTGAATGACGAAGGCATTTTATTCTGCTATCTAAACACTTTATCCTTTGTTACCCCTTTTGAGCCTTTCATTTTCGTTCATACCCCTCCTTTGGAATCAGAAGCAAAGTTTAGAAGTACAGATGCAGAATATATAAACAAAAAAGAAGAAGAGAAAATAGAAAAAAAAAAGAGAAAGAAAAGAATGGAAAAAGAGTAAAGAAAAAAAAGAAGAAGAAAAGAAAAGAAAACAGAGAGGAAGAAAAAAAAGAAAGAAAAGTAACAAAAACAAAGCAATTCCTATGTCATGAACTACATTCGACCTGATTCCTTTTAAGGATACGTAGGCAGCCTCGCGGTTTGGTCCCATCAAAATAAAATACAAAATTCCCCAGGCAAGGAAACTGGGGCAGAAGTTGCGGTTTTGTAAAAGATCTGATTCCAAAAGTTGTAATTCTAAACCCATTCAAGTTGTTTTGAGCCTTTATGATATCATTTCTTTATAACCCTATCCAAAAGCCCACATTACGGTCCATAGAAAGACCTTCCGATTGATGTGCCGGAGAATTTCGGCACATTTCAATACTAATTGCTTAGATTTTAGCTTATTTTAGATGCAATTATCTCCTTTATTTATGTAATTTTGGTGTTTTTGCAGTACATGAGGTCTAAGGACCCAAGAGCATGCAAATGAAAGCAAAAAGTTACAAAAAAACAAGAAAACAGCAAAAAGGCATCGCAAAGGAAGATACGCGGTCGCAAAATGACAATGCAGACCGCATAATTGACACTGAGATCGCAGATCACAACAGAATCCTCAGCAAAATTGAATGTCAAGAATGCGGTCCATTCTGCGACCGCATAACCTGTTTGCGAGCCGCAAAATAGACCGCAAACCAACCATGAAGGCTGCTGAATGAAGAAAGTGCGATCGCATTTCTACAATACGGATCGTATAACATGAATGCGGTGAAGGCCTGGAAATTAGGGTTTCAATCTGCGATGAGGATGTCCAAAATGCGGACCGCATGTGCTCTTTGCGACAGAAATGCGGTCGCATATCTGACCTGAAAGGGCATTTTTGTCCGTTTTCTGTCCCGATTTTCAGTACACTATAAATAGATTTATTAGGTTTTTGTGGGCTCATCTTGTCTAGTTTTTGAGCTACATTCCAAGACTTAAATATTCTTCGCTTTTGGAATCTTTTGGGTCAAGAATCTTCACTTTGTAAGCTTATGGCATTTAATATTCTCTTATTTTTGTATTTTAGTATGAATAGCTAACTTTAAATACTAAGGTTGTGGACCCTAAATGAGTGTTATGTTAATGGGTGCTTAACATTGAATATATATATAATGGTTGGTTGATTTTTATTTACTTCTCATTCTTCATTTATTGTTGGTGGTTGCAAACATTTACAAGTGCCATTAAATTCTTGCTTTGCTTGGGAAAGTGGGTTAGAATTTGGTAGAAGTAAATATCAAAGACTCAAGGCTTTAAACCTTGTTTAATAAAATCGCTTAGGAATAAGTGGGTTTTATTTGGCATAAACTGATTGTTCTTAATTGCAACTCTTTTACATTTGGAAAGATTATAAAGAGGAAATACTACCCAACTATTGGGAAATATTGGGTAGTCATTTAGACATCATTTGCATATCAAAAGGACCTTCCATTAGAAATATATCATATTAACACCGATAGCATTACACTTCATTAAAGGGGACATAACCTTGGTTTCTTTAATCCAATTATTTACACCCTTAATATTCCAACTAGTTGTTACTTCAAAACAAACTCACTCCATACTCTTGTTACTATTAATTCACACTCTTGTTACCATTAACTGAATAGAATTACGACTTTAGTCGAGCAACACACTATTCGATTTACCTTTTCACACCTATTCCTTG